AGCCTAAGTGGGCCGGGTTACCCTAATTTGGAGTAGCCGTAGTCACGTGCCACGTGACTTCCCCGGATAACAATAGATATTCATTAAACAAGCGAATGCGTTGTCCACGGGCCTGTAAAGCCTTGTTTGGTTTTGTACCTCCCTGGTGTTGTCAACGGACAATGGCTCGCTAATTATTTACTATTTAATATATTACTTGCTAATCAAATAAATGCTAACGTTATTTATTTTATTTATTAATTTTTATACCTTTTGCAAGCTATTGCACTATGGTATTATTCTTTCATTCTATTGATTTGTAAAAGAAATAACAAAAATAATTAATGATGTTTATGATTAGATTAATAGTTGCGAAGTTTTGAGGAATGCCCTTGAAAATGTATTCGGACTTATTAGGTTCTTTAAAATTTTGGAATATAGATTCTCCCAACGTGAACAAGCAGAAAGAAGTCATTGGAAGAAATTGCGTCTGAAAATGACGAATTATCATCAAAGGCGCAGGTGATGCTTCACGATCTTGATATTATTATTAAAAATTCAAGTGCAGAACGATATCGAACCTTAACAAAAGTAAACGAAGAGTCTGAAAGATTCAGAAGAAATTATTTCTAATAAAAAAGAAGTGAGCAGAGTATCATACTTAAACGCATCTTAATTCTTAAATATGCTTAGATAATATAAAATTTTAAATATAGGAACAACATTTCTTTAACCTGAAGTCAAATATTGCTATGGAACATGTTTTCGCAAGCAATTCGTTCCAAGACAAAATTCAGGTTTATCATGAATTAATCATTTAATTAATGCATAATTATTTTTTGAACTTCTATAAAATTTAAGTTTTGCTTTTTATAGAATCGTTTGAATAAACATTATAAAGAAGGTGTGAGATGCGTGCTTATGATATATCCGTTATTTCGCATTTGTTCCTGATAATTTAAAATTATAATTCTTAGAATGATAGTAAAACTATACGTAGTATTAATCCTCAAACGAATGTTAGCACAGTGGAGTTAAACCTGGATGATTCTTGTATTTCTTTTGTGATCTCTGGTGAAAGTTATGAACAAGTATGTTATCTTTTAATTGTCTAGTATGAGCCATAAAAAAAAGAAATAAAAAAGTAAAATAAAATAATTCATGTATTTATACAGATTTTGCTATTGAATTTTAATATTATAGAACGTTTGTGTAGGCGAGGATTATGAAGATTTAAAGCAATAGTACGAATGTCAAATATTGCTTGAATAAAAATTTTATATTAATCTATTCTAAAAATCTGTAAATTATAGTTTCTTGAAAAAGTTATGAAGATATTTTGGACTTGCAGACGGATTTTGAAGAAAAAGATGAATTAACTAAGAACGAATTTGAAAAAAGGTGTTATGACTATTTTTTCAAATACATGCCATAATATTTTCACAATTTCTTATTTATTTAACAGATTGTTAGATGAGATATTGTTAATATAAGTTCGAGTAACCCTTCTTCAATAAATAAAGTAGTTTTCAATAAATTAAAAGAAACTGCACAATATTAGCCTTCACCTCATGTTAATGCTGATGGTCTTAGAAAATGGATTCAACAAAATTATGTGATAAAAAAAACAAATATATTTATTTATTTTTATTTATTTATTTATTTAATTTATTAGCTTAACTTTTTAACCTCTCATTTAGTGTAAACTCACCACTACAATGTCAAATCTTCGATCAATCATGATTATTGAAAATTTTGACACTGAACAAATTGATTTAATAAAATGAGTATTAGAAATTAAGCTTATACAGTTTCAAGCTGGGCATGGGAAAAAACTTGACTTGCTTATGAATGAGAATATATACAAAGCAACGATAGTGTCATCTGATTTTAAAATTTGAAAATTTTCTTTTTCTAGTTTGTTTATTAGCAGATGGTAATAGCTTAGAAAAAATTAATTATAAGATTATGCCGATTATAGGTCTAACTATACTATATTTTAACAGGAATAAGAATGAAGTTTCCTCATTTAAATGGTGTCATGAAATCGTTTACAATGATGAAAAGTTTTTGCATATAAGGCAGATGGTATTTTTTTTAATTATGAGAATACTAGTTAAGAAATTTTATTTTTTGAAAACATTGGTTTCTTATTAAAGTTAAAAAATTCCAAATATAAGAGCGATCTTTCAAAATGGTTTTGAAATTCTGTAGATGCAACATGCAAAACTATTTGGAATGGGAATGGTGGTGTAGAATTAGCTAAAAGTATTATGTATTAGCCTATGTGTTGTACAGTATGTATTTGGTTGCTATTTTATTTTCTATTATATGTTACTAACTAATGTCTTTATTCAAAAAATGTAGAGGACAAAGATGAGCTGTTTAGATTGAACCTGGGTGTCCTTAAAATTTTTGTTGCTGAAAGAATACTAATAATTAATTATCACTTTGAGTATTTGACCTTTCCCAACTTTGTTAGTATAATTGAATTACTTTTTACTATTAAGGCAATGATTGTTTTTCTTTTTTCCTTATGTAAGTAAATATTGTTAGGTTTGATAACCATGACTCTGTTGTTCCACAATACAAAATGTTGTATAACACATAATAGGTAACTTTTTCAAAAGAGGGTATTAGATTTGGCTGGTGGGTGATTAAAATTTTTAGTTACTTTAGTTTAACAAATACAATTAGGATAAGTCACATGAACAAGAACTTGCATAAATGATGATGTTTATGGATTTTACAGGGTTTGTACTAGGTATAGTGTTAGGGTTTTATTATGAATGATTATAATGCATTGGAACTTATTCATTACTAAAGCAAACAAAACATGTCATCTCTTAGAACCATTTTGACCTTTATTTATATTTAACTTTTAATTATAACTTCTTTAATTACATTAATCTCATTTCTCTTTTCAATTCAACTTCTCTAATTTATTTACCTAAACCTTTTTACTTAATAAATTCCTTTTAGCTATTAAATCCTCTTTATCTATTAAATCTTATTTCCTTGATTTATTTAATTAATGTGATTAATTGTTGGGATATCCATATCAAGGAATTGATTATTGTACTCATTCTCATGTGAGGTCCTGACAGAGCATTTTCGTCACATTATTGGGTCTAACAATATATTAATTATTGATCATCTCATTAAGCATGATATATCAACTTGATACATTTGAATTAAAATATAATTACATAAAATTTTACATATTAACTTGCAATTAAATAAATATATTTAATATTTGAAGATTTATAAAATATATTTATCAAAAAAA